GCAAACTGAAACATGCACTATAAATTGGGATGGATGGAGTATTTTTTAATTATAATATATATATATATATATATATATATATATATATATATATATATATATATATATATATATATATATATATATATATATATATATATATATATATATATATATATATATATATATATATATATATATATATATATATATATATATATATATATATATAATATTGATTAAAGACGACGAGATGACGATTACCACAACCACTGTGAAATTTTATCTCAAGATTGTGTTCATATCAACCGGCGCAGGGGGTCTAGCCATGGCAATCAAAGCTTGGGTTCCGGTTCTCCTCCACCACCATCTCCCCACCGTCGCCGCCTGCCTCCGGCCACCGTACCTCTATGCCGTCATCAACGCAATCATCCTCACCCTACTTTACGCTTCTCGCTTCCAACACCCCGAAAGCCGCCATCTTGAAGACGATGATATTATTAAGAGGGTCGATAATCATATCACCGGAGATCGGCCGGTTTTTTCCGCCGTGAATGACGATTCTCCCGTGACAATGGTCAAGAACCGAGGTGAAGTTTTAATTTTTGTTGTAGTCTCAAAAAAAAGTACTCGTATTTTTTTAAAAAACTTTCTAAGTCTTAAAAAAATTTCATGTCAAAGAAGTTGTGTTATATTGTAATAGAATTATTAGTGTTTAAAAATCATTCTTTCTTTTTTTAGCGTCTTAAGTAAGTACTATTTTCTTAAATTAGTCTCATTAAATTTTTTTAGAAATGAAAATATGTGTCTTAAAAATGCTTAAATTTTCATCATTTATTACCTTATTATAAAATAATAGAAAATTTAGATAAAATATTTAAAATTATATTTTTAGGGCACACATTTTTCATCTTTAAAAAGTTTTACGGAGTATGAGATTGGGGAAGTATAAATGATCTATTATGATACTTCCTCCGTCCCGTGAAACATGAGACTTTTGCTTTTTAGGAGTGATTTAAGGGTAGTGTATTTTGGTATTGAATTTTCAAAAATGTTTTTGATGTGATGGGTAAAAGTATGATTTGATGGATAGATTATTACTAAAAAGGTATAATGTGATAGGTAAGGTATGAAAAAGTACAAAGTAAAAGTGATTTTTTAATAGAAATGAGAAATGTTTTGTGGGACGGATGAAAAAAGAAAGGAGAAAGATTTTATGTGACGGAGGGAGTATTATGGAGTACTCCCTCCGTCCCAAAAAGAATGGGACGGTTTGACTTTTTGGGAAATTAAGAGAGGGATATTTTGGTATTGACTTTCCAAAATACCCTTGATGTGATGGGTAAAAGTAGGATGTGATGGGTAGATTATTAGAAAAAAGGTATGATGTGATAGGTAGGGTATGAAAAAGTAAGGGGTAAAAGTGGTTTTTTAATAGAAATGTAACGAACTTTACGAGATACACTTTTTTCTAAACGTAACAAACTTTTTGAGACTAAAGGTCAAACTTCTATTTGTTCTAATAGGCTGCGAATCTATGGCGCCTACCAAGAAAACGCAACTCGCCGACGAACGTAAAACGGCGCTGAAACCGAATGCCACTATGGAAGACACGTGGGGGATGATCACGGAGAAGAGCCACGCGCCGCCGCAGCCCCGGAAGGGGCAGCTGAAGTCGCGGACGTTTAAGGAGAGGACGAGCTACGAGTTGCCGGCGGCGGCGAAGTGCCGGAGAGAGCCGTGGCTGAGTCAGGACGAGTTGAACCGGCGAGTGGAAGCGTTCATCAAGAAGTTCAATGAGGAGATGAGGTTGCAGCGGCAGCGGTCTTTGCAGCGGCACATGGAGATGATCAATCATGGGGCCCACTAACTTAGTTTTCGACTCTTTTTTTTTTAAATCAAAAGAGAATCATTAAAGTGCTAATTTAAGATTTGGATATGGCTTTTCCTTTTTTAAAGTTCCATATTACTCCGTATTAATTATGTAGTCCGTATTATATCAAAATACTGAGCATATAAAATATTTAAAAAATACATTGTGTATATTAAATATAATTATGTAAATATAAATTTGTGTATGTGTTTTTTTATTAAAATATTCTATATATATAATGTGTGTGAGTACCTCTTCTGTGTTTGACTATTTGTCTAAATTTAATTTTTTTGAGTTAAATCAAATGAACTTTTATCATCAACTAACCATATTAAATTGGTACTATTGTATACTATTGGTAAAATGACATAAATTTTACAAGCATTTCTGTAAGATAAATCTAATGAAATTGTTTGTGCACTAAAATGTTATGAATACAATTTTTATTTAACTAATGATTAAAATTTATACGCTATAATTTGATATTTACAAGGGCTAGCTCCATGTTAAAAGTAGTTGGCCTTGATCTCGTTTTTAGAATTCGAATCAAGAGACCACTTTTTTAATAAAAATATACACCAATTTTTTTGTCATAAAAAGCCTTGTTAGAAAATAGTTTTTGTGACTAGTCGTTAAGCACTTTCTATAAAAGATTTAGTGGATGATATAAATTGATTTTTAAGCTGTTAAAGTTATACACTGTAGTTGGATAGGAAATGCTTACTCTAATATACAGAGTAACTCTTAAGGTTGTCCCCAAACCTGTGGGTGTAAAAGCTTTTTTAAATGACAAACTATGTTACTCCCGTACTATATTAATAGTAGAGTGAAAAAGAAGCAAATTAACATCACTCTATCCTTTGGGTTTGTAAAGTTATGATTTGATATGTTTATTGGTGTCTTGTTCTTTACTCATTATAATAAAAATGATGACACCCCATCTACTAGGACCCATCAATATCGGCCGGATAATTAGCTAAGAAGAGATAAATTGAGGTATAATGTAAGTCAGTTGATGTATACGGGTGGGTTTGAGAGTTACCCAGCACCGAACTCGAGATCTCTATCTTGTAGTACCTTTATATGTCAATCGCTGAACTACGCCTCACCGGCTTGTTTACTCATAATAAATGTGAAAAAATGTATTATTTGTTGGGGTTACGCATACACTCATCCTAATTTTATATTACTATGGCATTATCTATCTAAATCGAATCTTCATACATTTAATTTTAGACAAGTCCCAAAAGATCTCACATTAATGAGCTGGGTTGAAAATTTAATATTTAAAATTTTAAAATATAAAGTTTAAAATATGAAATTTAAAATTTCAAGTTAAAAATATAATTTAAAATATAAAATTTAAAAATTAAAAATTAGAATTTTAAATTTTAAATTTTAAATTTAAACTTTAAGATTTAAAATTTAAAATTCAAAATATAAGTTTAAAATATATATTTAAAATTTAAAATTTAAAATTTAAAATTTAAAATTTAAAATTTAAAGTTTAAATTAAAAATTTTAAATTAAATATTTAAAATTTAAAGTTTAATATTTAAAATTTAAAATTTAAGACTTATATTATAAAATTTTAAGGTTTAAAATTCTATATTCAAAATTCAAAATTTAAAATTTTAAACGAAAAATTTAAAAAATAAAATTCAAAATTCAAAATTTAAATTTTATACCTACAATTTAATATTTAAAATAAAAAATATAAAACAAAATTTAAAATTTATAATTCAAAATTTAGAATTTCAAATATAAAATTTGAAATTTAAAATCTTAAATTTAGTATTTAAAATTTATTATTTTAATATTAAATTTAATATTTGTGATTTGAAGTTTAAAATTTGAAATTTAAAATTTCAATTTAAATTTTGAAATTTAAAATTTAAAATTTAAAGTATAGAATTTAAAATTTAAACTTTAAAATTTAAAATTTTAAATTTAATAATTAAGTTTTAAGCTTTCAAATTTAAAATTTAAAATTTTAAACATAAGATTTAAAGTTTAAAGTTTAAAATTTGAATTGCAAAATAATAATTTATTAAATAATAATTTAAAAACTCAAATTTAAAAATATAAACTTAAAAGGTAAAAACTATAAATTAAAAATTAAAAAATTTTCCAATATATTCTGTTGGTGAAACTTAGTAAACTAATCAGTTATTCAGAACAATTGACACAAACAACCAATGATCAAGAGTTGAAAGCCCAAAATATAGATATACTAGTACACATTCCTACCCGTGCAATGCACGGGTTTGGACGAATATCTTGTCGATTCTGAATTTATTCAATTTAATATTTTTTTTTCGGAATAAAGGAAATATACCTCATGCATGATTTATAATAACACAAAAAAGAAAGGCAAAGTAAAAAGAATAATATTTGAGGAATTGAATCTACACACAACAAAAAAGTTTGCTTTAATACCAAATTTTTTGAAAGATTTCTGGGTATACAACATTTTTTGTATGGCTGCAAGGATTTCCATTGTCATCTAAGACTAATATTTTTAATCTTGTCTTTGTCTTCACTAGCGAAACAGCAACATAAAGCTGACCATGAATTAACACTGACTTGGTTAAAAATAATCCAACAAATGACAATGTTTGACCTTTACTTTTGTTAATAGTCATAGCAAAACAAAAGACTATTGGAAATTATCTTCTCTAGAACTTTAGAGGTAGTCCTAGATCAGACGGTACCAAATTCATCCGGGGCATGTAAACTTTTTCGCCCACTCGATTTCCCGAAACCACAATAGCACCAATAACATTCTTTCGCATCTCGTCAACAATTAATCTAGCTTGTACCATTACACAATCCAGATATTTGGTCAATGTTCCTCAGTAACATAATTGGTACCCTTTTTTTAAAACTATCATGTGGTTTGAGATTCCTGAATATTTGATTTCATTCAAAAACTCAACTGTTATCCAGTCGCCATCAACACCTACATCTGAATCTGCTTGGCATGATGAATAAGAACTCAAGTACACCATTTCATCTCCCGGAATGAGGGATAAGACAAATTCGTTTACCATTTCTACAACTTCGAGCGTGGGTGCTAGTAGTACCCTGTATTCAAAAAAAGAATAATTTCTCATATTCTCTAATAAGTTCAGATAAGTAAAGTCCACTATACTTTTGAGGGGTGAGCTGTTATCTATAATCAAAAATTCGAGAGGAATTTCAACGTCAGCAGTTCCATCAATCACTTGTTCAAGCTTTCCATCTCCAACTTTGATTATCCAATCAGAAAAATCTTGTGTGTCTCTATCTACGCAAGAGCACGTTGATGAATGCAATTTCATATTCTTCGTCAACTTAAAAACTTTACAATAAGACCACAAATTTGAAGAATTAATGGTAGCACCTACAATTTCCTCTCTCGAAGCTCTGTGTAAAACAGGAAGAATTTGTCTGAAATCACCTCCGAGTACAACCATTTTCCCTCCAAATGGTTCATTCATTAAGTTTGGATTAGAGAACTTCATTAGACCTCTCATCGTGCGATCAAATGCCTCAAAAGCAATTCTATTCATCATACATGCTTCATCCCATATGATTAAACTTGCCTATTGAATTAGTTCTGCTTTTGGGCTCTCTTGTTTGATGGCACACGTTGAGCACTCTGTTAGCGCCAAAGGAATTGAAAATCTGGAGTGTGCTGTCCTTCCCCCATGCAAAAGCAATGCTGCAATCCCACTGATTGCGACATTCAAGACAACTTTACCACTTGATCTTAGAGAAGCAGACAATGATTTCCAAAGAAATGTTTTTCCAGTTCCACCGCAACCATACACAAAAAAGAATCTTCCTTTTCCAGCAGTCACAACTTCCATTATTTTATCGTATATCTTTCGTTGACCTTCATTCATCGTAGATAAGTATCCCATAAGAAACTTCAACGTTTATTTATGGAAAAGCTTCAATACTTTGATAAAAAACATTTATTTATATAAAGATAAGGAAGAGGATATAAAAAACAATTTGAGGAGAAGTGGAGAACAAAAAGGTCGAGATCCATAGGAGATTTGTTGGTCTTAAAATCACAGAACAGACCGTCAATCTACACATCAATGACTCTTGAATTCTTATTCTATGTGTTGATAATGATTTGGGTGATTATTTGTATTTATATTTCTTATCATTTCAGGTATTAGTTATAAAAAGTAAACAGACTATAGTGTGATTTGTTTTTTCAATACTTAAGGACTGTAGAAACTTCAAGAGACTATAAAAATTAAACTCCACACCATAAAATATGTTCAAAAATAGGAGGCTATAAATCTGAAATTAAGGTTTGAAAAATAAAAGGACAAACTCAAGTCGTCAATACTTTAATAAAAAAATATGCTTTTTATGGTGCTGAAAATAGAAGATTCAAGGACAGCAGACTTCTTACACTTTAAGAACGGCAGAGTTATTATTACATAAATTATAAGAATTCTTTCTTAGGTACTTTTAAAAAAAATTAGTCACATGGTTTTAGGCACTGGAGAAACTTCAACATGAATAGGCACTTAAAAAACTAAACAGACTATAGTGTGTTTTGTTTTTTAATACTTAGAATCAGAACAGAATATAGTGTGTTTTGTTTTTTCAATACTTTGAATCTGGAGAAACTTCAAGAGACTAAAAACTAAACTCCACAGCATAAAATATGTTCAAAAACAGCAGACTATAAATCTGAAAATAAGGACAGGCTCAACTCTTCAGTACTTTAATAAAAAAAAATTATTTTTTATGGTGCTGAAAATAGAAGGTTCAAGGAAAGCAGACTCATTATACTTTAAGAACAGCTTCATTTATTTATTCAATATGGACAATTGAAGAATTTTGGTTTTTTATACAGATTAGTATAATTGTGTTTTGAAAGTAAAAACAAAATAACCTTCCAGCCACTAAAGAATTATAAGAAATCCTATTAAACATAAATTTTATATTGTATGCAAAATACGAATAAGAGTACAATTCTTACATGTTCGTCCATGAATATCATCTCAATCGAATTCGTCATCTTCTCATCATTATACACTGACATCTTGTACAGTCGAATCACACGAACCAAAACTCTCCAGCATTCACTTGATGGATTGATCTTCAACAAAGGGTGAATCAGTTTGGAAGACATGTCAATTAATTAGAGGTTTTAGGTATGAATGCAGCTTATAATGAAAAAATAGATTGATGAAATGACTTACTTAAAATTTGATTTATATATGACCTAATATAAATCAGAAGGAAACTTACAACAATAAGGGTAGAAAATCCAGAGATTTGAACCGGAAAATTTGAAAGAAGAACAAATTTCACAGAGACTAATCATCATAAGAAG